TTTTGCACAATTTATTTGTATTAATTAAATTGGTAGTTACACGCAAATGAAACATGATGACTTTAAAATCGTCGGTTAAGTTTATGGCTTAATTCATATCAGTTTTTAAAATTCGTTTCGTCTTTCAGTTATATTTTGGAATTTTGGTTTCCTTTATGCTATTAACTATTAGCATTGGTATTTTTTAATATTGCTTTCAGACGAAACTGCTTGGTGCCTATTTCTATGAAGTAGCATCCATAAAAGAGTAAGGAAGTCGCCATGTTACGAAATGTTTTCGAAATTAACCATCACTGAAATTGGCAATCCATTCGTATGATTTGCGACGGAAGAAGCAACGTGATCGCTAATGATTTTAGCATGGTTTTGATTCTACTGTCTGTTTAGGTGTTTAGACAAATAAAATGTTTTAGCCTCCATTGTTTCTAATTACTTTAAGTGTCGTCATCTGAAATATTTGAAATGTTTATGCTTAAAAATCTATGCTAACATCGCTACTTCTTAATTCATCGAATGTCAAGAACAGCAGAACGTTACAGTAAGGCATTAATAGACATGTTTTGTAATTTACCGTAGCTCCTCAAGCAACCTGCTTAAGCTCTTTAGATGCGAAACTGCGATAATGCATAGGCACCACGACAATTGTTGAGGAAATATACTCTTTTCTTCTAAGATTAACACGAATTCATCACACTGATTAAGATTATCAGAATTTTGTCCATATCATGGTTCCTTACAAGCGAACCTGTTGCGTTACTTAGTTTAACCCGTTCAGAGGAATCAGCGATATCATCTAAATGTGTCAGTAACAATACCCTGAGTGCGACATTAAGAAGTGATCGGTTCGTTTTAATGTCTTTAGCCCCGCAGTGCTTCTAAATTACTATAGCTGCAACCCTGAGGCACTGGTGACATTCTCTTAGGAAGTACATCGGTAAGTAATACAAGTTGCGTCTCTCCCAATATTAAGAAAACAGCTATACTGGACTGAGGAATGCACCAATGATACTGGCATTTGTACTGGATTCGCCAAGGGGGCAATTTGCAGGTAAGTGTCATAGAAGAATTGTCACGCAGTTTTATGATTTGAAAGTTTATTGTTCCAACAGGATCATCAGATCTATCTCTAAGGATAGTGACATGGTAACAAGAATCAGTTCGGCCCAGCCCAGTGAAGGTTTTGTATTAATGCACTGCAGATGCTAAGTTACCGTGGAGCTGTGACCTGCTCAAGTGTTCCATAAGTTAGCAGAAGCAAGGAGACGATGCGTTTACACCGTGTAACTCCGATAATAACAGAAAACGTTAAGATCGCCAACGGATCTTGTTTTTCAGCATTTTCCTCATTCAGATAGATCTTCACACGGTCCACTTGCTAAGTACACTATGAAAGCGAGCTAGCAGTATCAACTTTTGAACCAAAAACGAAACGGTGGCTCCGGGATTCGCATATACTAACTAAATATCAAAGACATCACGTGATTACCTTTGGCCTACAACTCAAAACCAAAACACTACCGTAGTTGCCTTACAATAAACGAACATCAGCCATGAAGACAGGGCATCAGTTACAAAACCAGTAGAAAGGAGCTCGTCAGCGTCGCGCATCACTTAACGTTGGGGACTTCAATAGCTACCACACAGTAACGCCGCTCAGAAAACAAAAACAAGAATTAAGACATGTAAAATTCGCCTTTAGGAAAGAGCGCTACTTGTTCAGTGGCCGAAAGCAGACCATTAACTTTTCGATACGAACGTGGAAGAAACGAATCCAGCCTGCTTTTGTACTTTATATTTACCGACAGCAACAGAACATCGATTCGGCCCATTCCAACGAATTCACGTTACATTCGAATGGTCGACAATAAGAAAATATCGAAACTGCACTACACTGCAACATCCGAAAAGTTGAGTGATTCGCCTTAACTTCCAAACATGGAAAACAAATATTCTCCATTGTTCTTAAAGCTAAACCAAGTATCAAAATCTCTGGAAAATTATGCGAACAGCAACAGCGTTGAGCTATATTCAGAAGATACAGAAAAATATACACGCTGTACTAACTGCCTGAAGCCAAGATACTTCAACGTGAATAAGAAGGAAGTTACCGAAGCGGGAGATTCTTAAGCGCAACGGCTACTAAGTGACAGTCAGTGCTATTGCCGCGATAATGTCAATATCCGCACAGAGAATATCAAGTCAAGTAGACAGCTTCTCGGTAACAAACAAGAACTATTTCTCACCTACCAGCGACTTCAAAACTCTCCGCCTCCTACAGTAGGGGCAAAATGTGGCAGTTCCACCAAAACTAAGGCTGGTAAAGTAGTTAGATATGACAAAACTGTCCCTCAGTTCTTAGAGAAACGATGGCTTAACAGTCGAGAATCAGCCATCCTTACATAAGCATTCACTGGAAGATAGCGATGATCGGTGTTATTTTGAAGACAGGAAAAGCATCAAATAAAGTTTAACGTTACAGGCAATCTCGCTCCTGTGCATAGCACAGCATCCTGAAACGAGTTTCTGACAGGACTTCCCAATCGCAGAGGCGAATAGGTTGGACTCTGTCCTAAGAATTATTGCAAAAACAAATTAATCGTATTAGTCATGCATCAAATTCTGCTTCAAAAGGTGGCAGAAGAAATGAGTGTTGCTTAAATACCTCATTTAACCCCTTGATACGGTTTGAAGACAAGTGTTAGTTGAAATCTTCAAGGATATTAAAATGTCGTAGCATAATGTGTGCCTTCCAACCTCGACGTTCAAGAGAAAATCCCATCTATACCTGGATCATCAGGTCAGTTCAGCCAAGACACTAAGCGATGGACTGCTGCATGGTTCAGTTTTGGCACACTAACGATAAAGTGCAAGTTTAGATAACTTGCTATACTAACGACATGCCATTAACATGGTCATGAAAGTTCGCTAAAGCGATGGACATGCAACTAGCATTTGTAAAAGCTAAACCGCACTCTAACTGCCGACCTAACGACAATGGAAGAATAGTGCCAACGTTGGAGTATCATGTCCGGAGAAGAGAGAATAATGTCATTATTACCGGTGTCATTAAAAACTCAAAATAACAGCATATATTTTTGGTACACATGCCTATGGAATGAAGCACATTTGTTGGTGTTCGAACATGCTTGTATTCGACTTAAAAGTGGTGCTGTTTCGCGCCCATGCGCCGCAAGTGTTAAAATACCATGGATCCGTGGTCTGTTCAAACTTTCCTAGGCGACTAGAAGCAATGGAACAGTGTTACGACGCGCAAATTGCAGAAGTGACAAGGGAACCATAATCTTACAGGCGGGATTGAAAAGCAGTAGTTCGCTAGCAAATCCATTACAACCGGATTTCTTTTTAACGAATTCAAAATATAGTGGGTATTTCTGGTCATAAATAAAGTAAACAGTAATATGATAAAGTTCATCATGGCTTTCAACGGTGTTATGAAAAACGATATTTTGACTAAGCCAACATTAATAATTTTTCGCTTCGTTTCCAGTGCAGCTCAAAATTTCAGGGCAAATACTGTAAAATTAATTGAAGAAACTTCGGTGAAAATTCGATTCCCACTTGAGAGCTCTGAAAGAATCTTGATCTCCGTTTCCTCACGTTTCTGGTTCTCGAATCAGTGAGACAAAGCCTCAATGTCAAAATTTTTCTTCCGGCTTCGGTATTAGATCTGCAGCCCATTTCTTGAAATCAGCTTCGGTGAAAACGTGGTAATGCTTCTTGACA